CGCCCGCCCCTCCCCCCCACCCCCCCTCTCTCTTACCACAGAAAATAACGGAGACAACCCCGCCGCCGCTCCCGACGACGGAGCCAGCATCATCACCCCTCCCCCGTCGTCCTTCCCCGAAACTTCCACCACCTCAACCCCCCCAAGAACCTCCGTTGTCCCGTCGTCAGCAACACCACCGACCGCCGCCGCCGCTCCTTCCCCTTGCAGGGTGCCCGCTAGCGCCAGAGTCGAGGGCGACACTGGCGAAGCGGCGAGTTGCTGCTCCGGAGAAGGCGGCGCAGCGGTATCAGAACCCCCCCCCCCCGACCCACGGGTCGGCGCGGGAAGCCCCAAAGGCGACGGCAAAGGAAAAGACCGCGGCGACACAGATTTGTCCTCGCGGTCGCTCCTGTCTCCGACGACGCTGACCCCGCCATCGTCATCCGTCGCTGCCGCCGCCGCCATAGGCGCCGCCGCAAGCGCCGCCGTCCCCTTCTCCATGGTGCTCACGTCGATACCTATATCTGTTTGGGTCGCCGTCCAAGCCCCCTTGTTGGCGGAGGAAGACCGTCGGAACGTGAAGTAGTCGAACAGGTTTCGCCGGTCCTCTTTGCTGATTACCCGCCGAGAAGAGCTGGTCGCCGAGCCGTCCATCACTTCGACCACGAGCGCTGGTGCTGTGGGATTGTTTCGGAAACGTGTGGGCAAGTAGGATTGCCGGGCGGGTGGGGGGGGGTGATGAGCTTGACTAGGAGGTTGGGAAAACTTTTGTCATGAAATTACGCGCCAGTCCGTCTTGTTGGGCGATGACGAAAAAGTTCGCAAAGCTGATTCGTGGGCACGTGATTGTGTTTGGGTACTGCACTGTACTTGGCAGAACCAACTACCACCCTCCTGAACCATACGCGAGACCTCTGGCTAGTTGGCGGGGGACTCTTTCGGCACAACAATTTGCTCTCCGCGAACCAACGAACCTCGCTCCAAGGCCGCGAGGTCCCGCTGCTGCTTGAGGAGGGCGAGGCAGTAGGTCCCCGCTGCGACGAAGACCAGGACCGAGGTCGGCCTCAACCTCCTGCCCGCGATCATGTCGCAGAAAAACACCATGAAGGCCAGCTGTTTCGTTTCCCACCCGACGAATCAGAAATGACGCATACCACACGAGGGGGGAGGGGCGGTAGGGTTCAACGTAAAGGGTTTTCGACCAATCAGAACACTGGATGCCACCCTTTTCCGGGCGCAAGGGGTTACATCACGGCGGCACGGATAAGGGGCGAGAAATAGAGGGGGAGACCGAGCGAAAGATGCCCGACGGCCGCAGCAACAGCCACAAAACAACAGAAGAGATACCAGATACCAAGGGAAAGAAACGGCAGACGCTGAGACACAAGACAAATTACACACGCACATGCAAACACACACACGGAGACGTGCAGTTTTCTCCTGTTGCTACCGTTTCTGTCTTTCGCCTCCCTCATGCCGCCCCCCCACGGGGTCCCACTTAATGGCAGTTAGAAGTGTTCTGTGTTTTCAACCGCACTGCGACTGGCGTCTTTTCATTGGTCAGCCGGTTAGCGCGGTCGATGCTAACAACAAACACAGACACACACGTCCCCATGACACCCCCTCAAGGCTTTCTCAGATCATGGGCTTTAGAAGCACTTCGCTATTTTTCAGCCGCACTTGAGACTGGCGTCTTTTCATTGGCCAGCGCGGTCGATGCCAAGACACACAAGCCGGCGCACACCCACAGTTCGGAGAAAGCGCAGGCAAAGGGACAGCCGGGCGGCCCACAACGCCTCTCTCACCAGCGCAGCAAGCCCCAGGACGAAGATCGAAAACTCCGGCGACCGCACGCACGACCCAACGGGTCCACGTCGGTTATGACTACGCTCACGACGCTCACGTTCCCTGCGCAATCTCTCGCCCTCGGGAACCGCCGCCGCTAAGCCCCAAAACTCGAGGAAGTTCGGAAGCCGTCGGCTGGACCCCCACCACCCCCTCCTCCCCCTCCAACCGCCGCCCCCCCTGCCCCTGCCCCTGCCGGCGCCGCCCGCTGCTGCTCCTGTTGCTGCTGTGGTTTCCCCGTCGGCGGCGGCCAAGTCGACGTGCAGGGTCGATCTCTCCGGGCCGGACTGACGGACCACGGCCGAAGGGCCGCGCGTGTGGAACTGGAAGGACATCGTCCGACCGGACATATTGTTGTTGTTGTTGCGCTTCTCCTCCTGTTGTTCTCCTGGTGATTCCCGTGCACTGCGGAACTTGGTGTTCATGTACTTTGTTTACAGAGGAGTCGTCGCATGCGGCTGACCTCGCGGCTACTTCTCCCTGTTGTGATGGGGGTGGGTGGGGAGGGGGGGTCATGCAGGCTAGGTGCGACGACGGACAACCCGAAGAACGCAACCGCAAACAGCAATCCCACAAGGGAGACAACCACGCGTCGTCGTGCAGGGAAAAAACGGGCCATCGTGGCGTGCGTGAGGAAGTACAAAAAAGGAAACACTGACAATGGCACATTTTTAGGGCCACCAGGCCAGTACAAAATGTCACACCGGGTGACGGGAATTCAAACGCAATGCTGTCAACTTCGGGGGGGGGGGGGGGGGG